GTGGGGCTGAGAGAGCTCTTTTGAGGACTGCTGCCGAGAGAACAGCTCTGAAAGAACTTGGGACTGACCCAAGGCCACACCAGCAGCTGCATGTGGAGGAGTGGGGAATCAAACCTGGTTCTCCCAGATTAGAATCCGTGCACTGAACCACTGCACCAAACACATTCTCCTGCCATTCCCCCTGCGCAGATCTTTAGCACGTTGCTCTGTTCGGCACAGTGGGCTTCTTCCCAGCATACATTGCTCAGAGGATAGGAAACTGGCTCTGTATGCTTCTCCCCTGCATTTCCTAGGCAAGGAGGGGTTTCCTGGAGAAAGCTGCAGTTTGGACTCTGAACTGGTTCCCAAGAGAAGGAGGCTGAGTTCAAATCCCTGCCCGCTGCATGGTTTGAGACCAGTCATTCCTTGCCAGCCGAACTGATCTCTTGGGGCTGCCATGAAGATAAAATGGAGGAGAACAAGAACCGTCTCTGCTGACATGAGCTCTTTTCTTGGGTGAAAGGCAGGATATAAATGTACTGAATAAGGGGTGTCAAACATGTTGCCCGGGGGCCGGATCAGGCCCCCAGAGGGCTTCTATCCGGCCCGCAAGGGAACTGGCTGTCATCTGTTGCTTCTTCCAGTTCTGCTGCTGATGCGTCATCGTAGGTTTGCACCTTACACATACACACCTGAACAGCATACTCAGGATTGCAACAGCACAGACACGTTGATGCAGTAATTCAGAGCAAGAGGTGTCAGTTATCAGACACTGTTAAATAAAACATGGCAGGAGTGATGTTTTAAGCATGATTTTAAGTTAAAAAACACCCTTTGTGTTTGTGTCCTTTATAAAGTTTATATCTCCGCTACCTGGCATTACATTACATGTTATGTGCAAGGTCTCATCTATGTCAGATCCGGCCCTCATAACAAATGAGTTCAACTCCTCTGGAATAAATGAATCCAGCTGTCGCTGCTCCGAGCGTGAGCCACACAGCCCGTGCATAGGTGCACTTTCATTCCCCCAAGACAGAATGAAACTTGTTAGCAGCTATATGGATAATTTTTTAAAACGGTTTGGTCTCCTTTGTGCATCAGCAGTTGAATGTGTAGCTCAGTCAAGACTTGGCAGCTAAGGCATGCGTGCAGGAGCCAGTCAGAGAGCTCCTTTTGGATTTCGCAGGCTGCAGACGACTCCCCCTCGTGCACGTGGGCATGAGCCTCGTGTCAGATGAGGCTTCGGTGTCGAAGTGTAAAGCTGCCCCTTTAAGCTTCTGCTCTTGCCTTAGCCAGCACAGCAAAGGTTGGGACAAACATGGCTGGCTGGTTTCGGCCCTGGAAGGCAACTATCTGATCTGTTTCTAAGTTGAACCTATTCCGCGTTAGTTTATTTCCTACTCATGCACACACGCCCCTCGATGTTGTGGCATTTTTATTGATCCGGTAACTTCATTTCTTTTCGACACTACAGCATGAGCACTTTTGCTCTGCGTATACTTGGAGCAGAACTTAGTGCAGTCGGCTTACGCAGGTTCCCGTTTGCTGTTGTCCAGGGGATTCAAGTCGGGGGGGAGGCTGGAAGTCATGGTGACCTCTGGTGACTGATCCCCTGCTGGGGGGGTCATGATCTGGGCTGTGCCACCAGAGGCCTACTAGGCCCAGGGAGCCTGGCTAGCAGTAGGTGAGGCTGGGCCTACAACTCCCAGAAGCCCCTGA